GGAAGTACCTCCGGAATGATGGGATTGGAGAGACTATTGGGGAATTATAAGTAATGTACTTGACCAAGGAGACCACTGTAGGTTCTAAATTTGTTACAATAATATTAATTTTGTTTCTAATAATGTTGTAATTAATCAAATATTGATTATTTTCTATATTATAGTAATTTGTTGGGCGATAGCCTTTATTCGAGCTATCGAAGCGTTATTCAATATCGGTAAACGACTCGAAAATCAGAGGTCGTTTTCAATCCAACATTTGGTTAACAACATAATTATCGGAGTACGTGGGTTGGAAAGTACCAAAATTATTGGAGAATTTGTTGCGGAAAATGGCGTTTACGAGGAAGGTGAATGTTCTTACCGACGGAGCAAGCAAACATGTGCTCATGTAGATGTAAGCTCTGTTTCTAGCTCTATGAATCTTATTATGGTATTAGCTATTATATAAGCTTGTGTTTACTCTATGGAGATGAATTTTTTATTACGGTCATTAAGAGAAGCTTTGGGTTTGTTAAGGGGTTTGGGTTTATACTATACACAAAGAAATTTCATGTGTTGGTCGTTTCAATTTTGAGGTGTTGTGATATGTAGCAATATAAAAACTGTATTTTATTGGCAGCCCAAGACGGAGAGGATTGACCGTTTCGCCATCATCGACAACGTTGATGATGTGGAGCTTGCAAGGCTAGTGTGGAAGCATCCGGTGGTTGGGGTTGTGCCGGTGTGGGGTGATTTCCAGTTATATAGACAAGTAAGTGCAACTTAACTAGATTTATTTGGGCATACAAACAGTGAGATTTCGCCCAAATTAATATGCTTTGATATTATAATCAGGGCATTTACAAACCACCCAAATCTTCAGAAAGTCGGACGTATCCCATCTATCATGCCGTTCTCATAGTGGGATTTGGAGTTGATGAACATGGAAACCAGTTTTGGATCATCCAAAATAGTGCTGGTTTGACTTGGGGAGAAGGAGGATTTGGCCGATTGCACAGGGAACGTGGAGGGAGAAAGTCACTGTTCTCACAAGTTTATTACGGAGAGAAGAAGGGATATCCAGAGAAAGACAAGTAAACGATATGTGGGATTATTTTATTTTATTGATACGAGGAGATGTGTTTGGAAGAATAAGTGTTGAAAC